AAAATATCTCTTAAAATAATATTTAAGAATATTCACAATAATATGCTACCTTTCCATGGTCATAATTTCAAAATTACACACAATTATTAAAAGAGATTGTGTCATAGATGTAAATCTATATGGAATCAAAAATTAATTCTCATAACCAAACCTTATGTATATGTATCGGTAAAGAGATTGGCGTAGATGTAAATCTACCAAACCTTATATGGAATCAAAAATTAATTCTCATAACCAAAAACTTTACTAAAACACCTAAACCCATCTTTACGTATATAATTTAAATCATAAATGAATATTCTATAAGATCCTTTATTTATCTTATAAAACAGGAAGTTAGAGTGTGTATGCGATGCAAGAGCAAGCCTCTGCCTCTGGCGGAGGAATCTCTCATATGAGAGCCTCTTGAAGGCTAAGAAAGAGAATCTCTCACGGTCATATGCGGCACGTAGTCAAAGACGAATCGGCTTCAATCGCAGGGATCAAGGTCTGATCCAACGTAGGGATCAACGTCGATTTCGCCGGAGCAATCAGGACAATCTTGATCCCTGCGATTCAGGCCGATTCCTCTTTGACTGACGCGAAAAAAGTTAAGAAAAGGATGGGAATCATGAAAAGAGTAATAGAGGAAACGCAGGTCGCGATGTTGATGTTTGGCTGCGCAAAGAATAACTTGAACTGTCCTTATGCTTTGGTTCTCTCTCGCTCTGTATCACTTGGTTACCACACTCTTATTCTTTGCTAATGTAGTGGATCTAGAGACGGTGATATATATATAGTATTACGTAGGCTTTACGACTTCGGATACAAGTACAGAAGCAACTCCATAAGAAGCCAGAGCCTCATAGAAGCGTTACTTTTATCTTTTCGGTTTCTGCTAAAGCTTTTGAATTTTTTGGCTGTGTTCTAATGGTAGTAACAAAAAGTAAAACAGCAAAATATCATAAAAAAATTATGAGTTTCCGTCAACGTAATATCTCTTTCAATGTGATTGCAGTTTCAACAAGATTGTGAGATCGGTTATTTGTTACATATATGGTGGATTCTTCTCTCGATTCATTTTTCGTGTTTATTTAACCCGACTGAGGAAGAGCTGGTGATATATATTTGAAGATTAGAAGAACTTTGTGGTAATCTCATCTCTTTATCCTTACTAGCTTGTGGATTTTAGTAGCTCTATTGCCTCTTCGGTTACTGAGATTTTAGCAGCATGCAAACTCTTGTTCTTTCAACAAAATGATATCGGTCGTTGTGAACTCATTTTCTTAATGCAATGTTGTGACATGAGAAATGTGAAATTTAAGTTTTGTTTTGATTACTTTGTCTCTTTCAGAACTAGAATTTTATGTTCACGAATCAAATATGTCCCTTTGTTTGAGATCATATTCTTGTATGAAATCCTGTGTTATGGAAAGAGCTTTTACACCTGCACGTTAATGGAGCTAGGCTTCACATCTCTATGTTCCAGCTTTGAAAAGATAGTTTGACGAAAAGAAAACACTATCATGTGGAATGTTGGGAAGGAGATCATGACTGACTCATTCATGTGGCTCCTCTTTGCAATATATGTGTGATTCCTCTGCATTTGGGATACATTGGATTTTTGAAAATAATAATTTCAGAAATGAGTTTTGTAAAGCATATAGAGCAAGAGTTTATTGTATAGCCAATGCAGCAAATTTTTGTCTAGCATGTTGCAAAGGTTCATTCAGCTAACGCACTCTCAGATAGACATTTACGAACACTTTTTATATGATTCTTGTAAATTAACCAGCCTTGTGTCGTTCGATGTCTTCACCATAGAATGTTTCTTTGTAATAGATGCAACTAGAAGCTCTATGGTAGTGTCACCTACGCACTATAGACGAGATGTGAGCTGTTTTTGTGTAATGCATGCAACGAGAAGCTCCGTGGTACTGTCACGTCTAAGAATTAGACGAGATGTTTGCTGTTATACGGATGATGTTTGTATTGTTAGCTGAATAGATCTCTCTTTCAGGTGCAAAGAGCAGCTGTTTTTTTTAATCATTTTGGACATATTCTTGAATTGGAGAAGATGGGTAAGCTGATCCATCTTCTTGAACATATTCTTGAATTGACAGAGTAAGCTGATCCATCTCCACTGGAGCTTCCGTTGGTTGAATTACTACCATATAGGTTTGGTAAAAGTTTCTGTTTCATCAAGGTTAACGTTTATCTCTTGCAAACAGGTGGAGGAGTTGATGGGTCATTTGAAAGAGGAGATCATAGTGAAGAAACTAGGAGGTAGCGCGTTTGGATGAATCAGAACAATAACGCTCATGAGAGCTCTGTTGCTTGGCGGCTCTATAAACGCCACTTTTGTCATTTGTTTCCTTATTTTTATGTGTCTCTATCAAGAGGAAACTTGAGGAAAATATTTGAATGTTTGATTGGGAAGGACATGAAGCCCGGCTCATCGTATTACATGTATGATGATTGGGTAAGTATTCTGCCCAACAATCATCATATGTGTCGACCTATTTGCTTCTATTGTAAGAAGCGTTGTCTATACAAAATAGTTTTAGCTCCTGATTGATACTTTCTTCTGTTGATTGACATTTTCTTGTAGGCACTATAGAATCAGCTACAAGCGTGAGTTGAAGAGCACGAGAAGCAACAATTGAACCTGGTCGAACGATGCTTGCGGTTATATCCTGGAAAGAGACCAAAGCGGGGCAGGGGTTGCAAGCATTGCAAAAGGCTGCACTTGGCAGTAAGGAATCGCATGGAAGCGAATAGTGAATGATAGTTGATGCATAGTGAGTCGTGAGAAGAGCTGAAACATGTGATTGGGTCGACAAGGGAAAGACTCGCAAAAGAGGAGTTAGAAAGTAGAGCTACGGTGAGCAAGGTCTCCGGGGATGCAAGGGGTAGATCCGACGAATCTATAGTTGCAGATGGCCAAGAGACGCGTTTCGGTCACCGATGACATGGTAAAGCGGCAAAGGAACGGTAGCCGGCGTAAAGAGGTCTAGCCGAAACTTCAGATCGGACAAGCTTCACTCCAGAGTTAACGGCTGGCAGCAGAGGAGAAGAATCGACGGAGATCCATGGCGGAAGTCTTCAGAAGCGGCTGCTTCGCTTTCTGTGCCCGAGAGGATTATTTTAGGGCGACCAAATTCAATGTATTTTAGTCAAATATTGTTATGAGATATTTCCACTGAAAGCTTACTGAAAAACCTTTTTTGCTTTGCACCAATGGTGATTCTTGCACTAGTTTCTTTTACTGACTTCGTTCCGTGCTACAATTTCGTTAACGTCGTCTAGTAATATGTGTAGAATAATTGATTCACATTGTCGAATTAGTTCACGGTGGAAATTAAACACCTTAGCGCATTCGCTACACATACACTGCACACAAACCTTCTTTCAGATATCTTCAAGAGTTTTTGAAAAACAGAGTTGCTCAGGTAACTTATCGGAAAAGCAAAGCGGTGTAAACCACAAAACACCTATTTTTCTCCAGCGGTTGAGGTGCTCGTAGTGGCAATTGATCTCTGAAATGAGATCCTTTTCCTCTCGATAGCTTCTCTTTGGTTGCATTTTGTGGCTATCTTGAGGAGCCTCTTTGTGTTCATAATCATATTTGTGGGAAATATATTTAGATGGAAAGTAAAAGAGAGATTTTTTAAAAAATTTGTAGAACTTTTTGAATGCAGATTGCAGGGTATTATTGATGGCGGCGAATGCAACAAGTTCTCTCTGTTATATATATATATACAAAAGTGATATATTAGACTTAGATATTCTTTGTGACAAGCTCTGGAGCAACCTAACCAAACAAAAACACTAGGAATTTAGATAAGATCATAAGGGTCCCAAGTTAGTACCCAATTATGTCTACAAATCAACATGTGAACTAAAGACTTCTGGTGAGAAGACATGATCATGTAGGTGTGATAATGAATCACATTTTGTATGAAAAGAGTTAGGTACTAAGGACATGATGCAGAATGCAAGAGGCTGTTGTTACATATATGAGAAGTTAAGAACTTGTCAAGATCCATCATCTAAATCAAATGTGAGTCACAAAAATAATAGATTAAGTCGTTGTTCAAGGGGCGACAAATCTTTCGGTGACATAAAACAACAAAGCTGGTTAAAACTAATCTTCAGAAAAATAGATACAAAGAAACACATGGAAAAAGAAGGTAGAAAATATATTTTACAATTTGGGCTTGACAAAGCCTTCTTTGGTGTTTATTGAGTTATTAAGGGACAACAAGGCATAAGTGAGACTAATCGAGCATCTAAAACTGAAATTTTGGAACATATTCTTGAATTGGAGAAGAAATTTCGGAGACATTTCAAAAATAAGAAGCAAATTTCCCCAAAATTGAAGCTGTTAAGAAACACACAAAGAGAAAGTACACATAGAGAAGAAGATGTAGAAATCAAGACCTTCGGAGCTATGGTGAATCGAGATGAAATCCATTTCGAATATTCCGGCGAAGAGAAACGACGGACGACGACGGTGAGTCAAAGATGAGGAAGAAAGTAATAGTATGGTTTTTATTGGAACGACTAAACCGAAAGCCGGTTAAGCAAATTTTTGTATCATTCATTTATCGAATTATTATAGATAAATTAAAAATGAAAATCTGGTATCAATTTGAATTTTGGCTTATTTTAGATACTTTCAGTCGTTAAAATTATAACGTACGCTTACGCAATGCTCTCTGCAAGTGCTCTTTTACTATCTTTCACATCTGACCGTCGAGAATGCTGGTGGTAGTCTGACGTGGCGATATATTAGCCGTTAAAGTTGATCAAACGACAAGAGCAAGAACAAGAACAATTTCTGTTACGGACTTGAGTCGGAAAATATTTTTCTTTAAGTCCGAAGCCTTCAATTCCGTTTCCCGCCTTGTCTACAATAAAATCCAGTGACTCTTTCTTTCCAGATTCTTAGTT